CCTACTGAATGGGAGAAGATCTTCACCAATTCCACATCAGACAAAGGTCTGATCTCCAAAATATATAAAGAACTCAAGAAACTAGACTTTAAAATTCTAAATAACCCAATTAAAAAATGGGGTACTGAACTAAACAGAGAATTCTCAATAGAAGAATCTCAAATAGCCAAAAGATACTTTAAAATGTTCAATATACTTAGCCATCAGGGAAATGCAAATCAAAACAACTCTGAGACATTATCTTACACCTGTCAGAATGGCTAAAATAAAAAAAAAAACACCAATGAAGGCTTATGCTGGAAAGGATGTGGAGTAAGGGGAACACTTATCCATTGCTGGTGGGAATACAAACTTGTGCAACTATTTTGGAATCAGTGTGGTGGTTTCTCAGAAAATTGGGAGTCATCCTACCTCAGGATCCAGCAATATCACTCTTGGAAATATACCCAAGAGATGCCCAATCATACTACAAAAACATTTGTTCAAATATGTTCATAGCAGTATTATTTGTAATAGTCATAACCTGGAAACAACCTAGATGTCCCTCAATGGAAGAATGAATAAAGAAAGTGTGGCACATTTACACATTAGAGTACTACTCAGCGGTAAAATCAATGACATCTTGAATTTTGTATGCAAATATATGGAAGTAGAAAACACTATCCTGAGTGATATAACTCAGACCCATAAATATAAATATGGTATGTACTCACTCACTAGTGTATTCTAGCCATAAACAAAGGACAATGAGCCCATAGTTCATGATCCTAGAGAAGCTAAGTAATAAGGTGAACCCAAAGAAAAACATATATAGATTTTCCTGGAAATTGGAAGCAGATAAGATCAGCAGGCAAAAGTTGGAAGCATGGGGATGGGGGTGGGGTTGAGGGAAGGGGAGAAGGTAAGAGAGTGTTGTAATAGGAGTGGCAGGGCTGCATCCCCAGCACCCCGGCCACCTGGCTAGCTTATGCCCCGAAATAACAACACACAAATTGTATTCTTTTAAACACTGCTTGGCCCATTATATCTAGCCTCTTCTCGGCTAACTCTCGCACCTGGATTAGCCCATTTCTTATATTCTGTGTAGCACCCCAAGGTTTGCTTACTGGGAAGATTCTAGCCTATGTCCATCCTGGGTCGGAGCTTCACCCATCTGCTCTGGAGCACAGCGGCATGCTGTCTGTCTCTGAGAGGAGCTGACCTGCATCTGAGCTCACTTCCTTTTCCTCACAGCATTCTGTTCTGTTTACTTCTCCCACCTATGTTTTAACCTACCAGGGCCAAGCAGTTTCTTTATTGCTTAACCAATGAAATCAACAGATTGATATATGACACTCCCACATCAAGAGAGAGGGGAGAAGAGGAGGGTTGGGGAGAGCTTGGGGGATTAGGGTGATTGAGATGGAGGAAGGATGGATGTGAGAGCAGGGAAAGATATATCTTAATTGAGGGAGCCATTTTGGGGTTGGCAAGAGGCTTGGCTCTGGAGGGGTTCCTAGGAGTCCATGAGTATGACCCCAGCTAGGACCCTGGGCAGTGGAGGAGAGGGTGCCTGAACTGGCCTTGTCCCATAGTCAGACTGATTACTATCTTGAATATCACCATAGAAGCTTCATCTGGTGATGAATGGAGATAGAGACAGAGACCCACATTGGAGCACTGGACTGAGTTCCCAAGGTCCAGTTGAAGAGTAGAAGGAAGGAAAATATGAGCAAGGAAGTCAGGATCATGAGGGGTTGGTTCACCCACTGTGACAGTGTGCCTGAGCTAATGGGAGGTCACCAACTCCAGTTGGACTGGGACTTAATGAGCATGGGATCAAATTGGACCCTCTGAATGTGTCTGACAATTGGGGCAGACTGAAGTGTCAATGATAATGGCACTGGGATTTGTCTCTACTGCATGTACTGGCTTTTTGGGATCCTATTCTCTTTGGATGCATACCTTCCTAAGCCTGGATGTAGGGGGGAGGGCCTTGGACTGCCCACAGAGCAGGGTACCTTGCCCTCTCTTAGGACTGGAGTGGATTGGAGGGGAGGGTGTGTGGGGGAGTGGGAGGGAAGTTGGAGGAGGGGAGGAAGTGGAAATTTTGATTGGTATTATTTATAAAGTAATAAAAAGAAATTTTTAAAAAATATCTTTAGGAGAGACATATTGTTTTGATTTTTCACATTATTTGTAATTTTATGATGCCACCTGAGCATCTGGAGTTTGGTTCTTGGTCATTTCTTTTGGCATAAGTTTTTGACAACCATTTTGGAGTCCCCAAGTGGGTTGTGGACTACATACTTTGGGGGCATCCCAAAGGAACAATGTATGGCAGAGGGAGTCTCTTATCAGTGGCCTGTGAGTATCTGCATAGAAGACTAAGACTAGCTGGAGAGAGGGTGTAAACAAGGATAGTGGTTTCTATCAGGATGTGTCAGACACTTGATTGGCAGTTACATATTCTCTCAGGATGTGGAACATTATCTTTTTGTGCTCTTCTAGCTCTAAGTTGTTTACATGGAGCTCTGTTATTTTGGGGATATATTTTAGTTTTTAGTTAAATGACACATGTGCCTGCATCCTTTAGCATCAGCATCTGTTATGTGACATATACTCCTGACACTCGCCACTGCATTTTGTTATATAGGTTAATTCTTTTTTATGTACATTTTGAATGCCTCCATTATTGGAATGTCCATATATTTTTGTAGATTAAGGAAAATCTTTAATGATTTAACATTATAAAAACATGGAATTGTTCTTCTGTGCTTTAATCTGCATCTGAGATACATTCTTTGCTCAAGGGATACTGAGAGGTGGTCTCTAAACTGAGTTCCAGAGGTCTCCAAAGTTGAGATATTTTCTCTCTCTCTCTCTTTCTTGTCCTTCCTTCCTTCCTTCCTTCCTTCCTTCCTTCCTTCCTTCCTTCCTTCCTTCCTTCCTTTCTTTTTTCTCTCTTTCTTGGTTCCCTCCTTTCTTTGTCTCTCCCCCTTCCTTTCTTTCTTTGTTTCCTTTTTTCTTTCAGCCCAGGCTTTTCCGTAACTTTCTATGTAGTTTAGATTGTTCTTAAGCTCAAGGTACTATTCTGGACCCATCCTGTAGAGTTTGTACTCCACAAGTAAGCTGCCATGCCTGGAAGATTGTTTCTGTTACACTCTGTCTTCCCTGTAGATGTTTCTATGTCAAAGTCCCTATATTCAGCCAGTTGTTACTTCTTTCCTTCTTTTTCTTATTTTCCCAAATTTTCTTTTTTATTCTTCAAGAGTGTTAGAAGTTCAGTTAATCTTAAATCAGTGTCTAAATTCTCGGCTTAAACCTTTTTAGGACATCAATATAGTTATTTATTAAACATTCCTGGATTGGAAAAGACAAAGGCCATCATTAGCTATCTTTAAGCATAAGCCATTATTTCAAATGCACTAGATCTTTCCACTGACAGAACCCTAAGCAACAATGTTTTCTTCCTTTTCTATGTTTTTGTAGTAATAACTTGCTGTACAATATTTGCAAAAATTTAATCCAAATAAATAGCTATTGTTGGGTTTATGATTAATTCATGTATTTGTTTAGTGAGAATTCTCAATTACTCACCAAGTCTCAAGAGAGAGATGGACACTTGTGATGTAGCAGCAGGCAACAGAAAATTTTCTGATGACTTCAAAAGCTTTTCTGATTTCTAGTATCAAATCTGAAATGGAGACAGGGACTCTTTAGACTGTACGTCTGGTTCTTTTCATACTGGTCTTAGACTTGGCATTTCCATCATGACTCTCATTCATGATTTCCATATTTTCCCAGTTGATATCTTTCCCTGCCAGGACTGAGAGCAGCTACAGACCACAATTCTAGCTTCCAAGTTCCTGCACCAGAGAAAAACCAGTCTTAGGATAGAGAGAAAGTTGGGTTCAGAGTTCCATTTCTTTCTGACACAACCTAAGACACTGAGTATCTATATTGTGGCCACCAGCTACTCTCAAGTCAGTATAGGACATGTTTTGTAGATATCCCCAATCAATTACAAGCTGAATTTATCTCCAGAAATATCTGTTTTCATTATTTATTCAGTCTCTACAATCCTCTTTACCCTCTTTGTGAACCAGGACAGTCATTTACCCAGAGCAAAATGGTACTGAGAAAAAGAGAGAATATAGTATATGCTCATATCTTGCTCCTCTTTCCAGGAACACTACTGGAGAGCTCCTAAGAGTGGATGCAAACATCACAGACTGGGGGACTAACATCACAGACTGGGGGACTAACATCACAACAGTGAATGGAAGAAACCACACTGAAATTCCACTTTGTGCCATCATATTCTGTACCATGACTTTTCTTTCCCTCATCATTGCCCTGGTTGGGCTGATTGGAAATGCCATAGTGCTGTGGCTTCTGGGCTTCCACATGCAAAGGAATGGCTTCTCTGTATACATCCTCAACTTGGCTGGAGCTGACTTCCTTTTCCTCTGCTTTCAAATCGTACAGTGCCTTCATATTATCTTGGACACACTCTACTCCAAGACCATTGACATTCCTCTCTTTTCTTTTGTTGTATTAAACGTTGCTTATCTTTGTGGCCTGAGCATGCTCAGTGCCATAAGCATTGAACGAAGTCTGTCTGTCAGGTGCCCCATCTGGTATCGCAGCCAACGCCCAAGGCACACATCAGCTGTCATATGTACCCTGCTTTGGTTTTTGTCACTGCTGCTAAGCATCCTGGAAGGGGAAGAATGTGGCTTCCTATTTGATAGTCTTGGCCATGGTTGGTGTCAGACGTTTGATTTCATTACTGCTGCATGGTTAGTTGTTTTATTTGTGGCTCTTTTAGGGTCCAGTCTGATCTTAATGGTTACCATCTTTTGTGGCACACACAGGATCCCTGTGACCAGCCTGTATGTAACCATTGGGTGCACAGTGTTGGTCTTTCTGCTCTTTGGTTTGCCCTATGGAATCTACCAGTTTCTCTTAGAATGGATCGAAAATTTTAATTATGTTGTGATTTGTGATTTTTATTCAGTGACAATATTTCTGTCATGTGTTAACAGCTGTGCCAATCCTATAATTTATTTCCTCGTTGGCTCCATTAGGCATCATAGGTTCCAGTGCAGGAGTCTCAAGCTACTTCTGCAGAGAGCCATGCAGGACACTTCTGAAGAGGAAGAATGTGAAGAAGGGGTTTCTTCAGAAAGATCTAGAGAAACAAAAACAGTCTGGCAGCGACTGAGATCTGTTTTAATCAGGCAGAAGTAGCTTTGAAAATGGCTTTGTGCTTATTAGTTTGTGACATTTTCATCATATTGTTTAGTTGACAAACCAAGTTTAAATCAATTGAGAAAGTAGTCAATCTTGTGGAAATTGATTGATACTGGACTTATTATACAAATACTGACTGTAGCATTTCTGGAGCTGTCTTACTCAGGGGTTTATCATCTCCTTTTGATGGAACTCCTTGGAAGCTCTCAGGGGCCCAGGAGAGCTGTTGACCACTATTGACAAATGCCTCCTTCATCAAAAGGGAATGTAATAAAGAATTTCATGTATTTGGTCACTGAAGGTGATAGTGGTTAAATTTATGCTATATTTTCCAACAGTTTTTATTTCTGATTTTTGTTTTCTTAAATTTTTAAAAGAAGCTTTTATTTATTTTTTTGTAATGTATATTTTAGGAAACAAAGCACAAGAAGGTAAGAACAAAGTCACCCAGTTGCAAGCATCTCATCTTGATGAGTCCTATATTCAAGTGTGAATACATCTACGTAATTGAGGTTATACAGTATATATCACACCTTCCACCACAATGAAAATACTCACCAACTATTAACCCCATGCTCCATGAGTAATTTTATAACCAAGAATGCACCACAACATCTCCATCTGCCAGACAAAACTGCAATCCTATTTTTCTTCGCAACAAAAATCTTATAGAAGATAAAAATGACAGTGGGCCTCGTACTGGTGAAACAACAATTAAAATCCTGCATTCCCTCAATGTTCAGCTCACAAGAAAACACAGAGCAACAGACCACACTAAGTACAGCATTTCTAAGTTTTATACAGATCTATATACTAAAATATGAGGAAGGTGGTATGTTCCTGCTTAATGTATTTCTATGGATTAGTTGGAAGATTCACCTATGGCAAGGTTTCTTAGCATGTCAATTTCAGCACAATATTGCAGAGCTCACCCTGTGAGCCTCCTTCTGCCCTTCCACAGTCAGCCTAGCAACATGAATGAACTCACACTGTCTGGATATGACTCAACAATTCTATATTTAAGTGGAACCTTTTCTGTCATTTCTGCCATGCTCACTAGCTTTTAATCATATGCTCTCCTTTAGGTCAACTATAAGGTTCAGATATTGTGGAATAAACTTTGTGTACAATAAACAAAAGCATCCTTCCTGAAATGCACATATAGATTATTTGGTACAGTTATAACTGTTTTCTAGATGTGGTGGTACTATCAAAGAGCACTTCCCTCTTCTGTCCTCTTCTGTGTATAACTCCAGTTCAGGATGACGCGAGTGACAGTATNGGGGGAGGGAAATGGTAGGCAGTGGCGGGGAAGAGACAGAAATCTTTAATAAATAAATAATATATGTTTAAAAAATGGCAGTGGACCTCATACTGGTGAAACAACAATTAAAATTCTGCATTCCCTCAATGTTCAGCTCACAAGAAAACACAGAGCAACAGACCACACTAAGTACAGCATTTCTAAGTTTTATACAAAACTATATACTAAAATATGAGGAAGGCAGTGTGTTCCTGCTTAATAACGTATTTCTATGGATTAGTTGGAAGATTCACCTATGTCAGATTTTCTCAGGATGTCAGTTTCAGCACAATATTGCAAATCTCACCCTATGAGCTTCCTTCTGCCAACCTAGCAACATGAATTAACTCACACTGCCTGGATATGACTCAACAAATCTATATTCAGGAGGAACCTTTTCTGTCATTTCTACCATGCTCACTAGCTCTACTTTTAACCATATTCTCTCCTTTAGGTCATTTATAAAGTTCAGATATTGTGGAATAAACTTTGTGCACAATAAACAAAGCATCCTACCTGGAATGTACATATAGATTCCAAGGTACAATTGTAACTGTTTTCTAGATATGGTGGTACTATCCAAAAGCACTTCCCTCTTCCATCCTCTTCTGTGTATAACTCTAGTTCAGGATGATGCCAGTGACAGTGTTAACAAAGGCCACCTGCAGAAGACAGCCCTTCCAAAAGACTAGCAGGACATTTATAGTAATTATTTTGCTACTTCTAACATCATTTGGGCACTGAGACTTATCCTTGAATACCTAGCAACATTAACTGAAATACATACCTAAACAATGGCTAAGCAACTGGAACCAGCTACCAGGTACAACATTCTGCACTGTTCTTTCCCCTACCCACCTCCACCACCTGGTAACAGCATCTACTCAAAGACCAAGTTTAAAAGTTCCATTCTCCCTGTATAACAATTCCTATGAAATAACGAAACTATCCTTCACAGTGGTGTTGTCTCTCAATTTTCACCATGCCGTGCATCTCTTACATTTATGAATTAGTGTGTGCATGTGAGCACATACATGCCATCATACATTTTGTTTTTGGTTTTTCAAGACAGGGTTTCTCTGTGTAGTTTTGGTGCTTGTCCTGGGACTAACTCTTATGGACAAGGCTGATGTTGAACTCAAAGAGGTCCACCTGCCTCTGCCTCCCATATGCTGGCATTAAAGGCATGGGCCACCACCACCTGGCCCCTATCACACTCTTATGGAGGCTAAAAAATAAAATGTGGTAACCCAGACCCACTTGTACTCACTCATGGGTGGTTTTTAAACATTTAGAAAACCATCCCACAAATCACAATCCCAGAGAACCTAGACAACAATGAGGACCCTAAGAGAGACATACATAGATCTAATCTACACGGGTAGTAGGAAAAGACAAAATCTCCTGAGTAAATTGGGAGCATGGGGACCTTGGGAGAGAGTTTAAGGGGAGGGGAGAGGCAAGGAGGGGAGAAGGGAAAAATGTAGAGCTCAACAAAAATCATTTTATAAAAAGAAAAAAAAACTATTAATTTATAAACTGTTATGTAATTCATTTAGTGAAAATTTTTATTTAGCCTTCTGTATGTGTTTTCAAGGTTAAACCTAAAGCAAGTAGCTAAAAACAAATTACAAATTAAGTTTGTTAGCTCAGATGTACTTAATAGATGGTCCTCAAACTCTCCAGAGATCTGCTGAATATTGCATTTAAAATATTTAATTAAAAAGCTCACCAGGATAAATGAAATGCCAACTCCTAGTGGAAACCCTGAAGTCTCCAAAGAAGACAGGTGGGGCATGATGACTTCACTTGGATTGTGGCAATGTTAGCCACGGGGTAAAACTTCCCTATGCCTCATCTGCCACCAGAATTAGTAGACCAATCTTCCCAAGTACCTTATCCATGGGGAAATCTCTCTCAACTTCTGGCAGCTAGAGACTGATGATGCACTGTGTATTAGCTGAAGATGTAATATTGTCCTGTATGACAGCTGAAGACTATTTCTGCCTGTGATGAAACCATTGAGACCAAGGAGCCTAAGGTACTTGATATGCCAGCCATTTGGATTATATTTTCTGCTATAATTTGTGACTGCTTATCAGTTCATTTCATATGTAGATTTTATTGGTTAAGCAATAAAGAAACTGCTTGGCCCTGATAGGTTAAAACATAGGTGGGAGGAGTAAACAGAACAGAATGCTGGGAGGAAGAGGAAGTGAGCTCAGACTCGACAGCTCTGCTCTCTGGAGCAGAGACACCATGCTCCCCTCTCCCGGGTAGATGCGATAGCTCTGCTCTCTGAGGCACTCGCGATGAAGCTCCAACCCAGGATGGACATATGCTAGAATCTTCCCAGTAAGCACATCTTGGGNACCCAGGATGGACATATGCTAGAATCTTCCCAGTAAGCACATCTTGGGTCGCTACACACGTTATAAGAAATGGGCTAGTCCAAGTGCGAGAGTTAGCTGAGAAGAGGCTAGATATAATGGGCCAAGCAGTGTTTAAAAGAATACAATTTGTGTGTTGTTATTTCGGGGCATAAGCTAGCCAGGCAGCCGGGGTGCTGGGGACGCAGCCCCGCTGCTCCTATTACAACATTGTTTTGCATCTAACATTCCTTATGATGCCTCCTACTCCCATTTATAATGAGAATGTTTACTCTGTGTCAATATATGTGGAAAAGTATAATATGTTTTAAATTATTTTAGAAAATTGCAGTTAAGACATTGCCTTGAGTTTCAGAAAAGTCCTTGGACTTTATGGATCAACATAGGGTTTATTAAAGACTATGGGAACTTTTGAAGTTGGATCAAATGAATTTTGCATCATGAGATAGCGATGAGCATATGAGGACCAAGGGACAGATATTAGTTTGAATGTTAAACATTCCCCTATAGAATCATGTGATTGAACACTTGGTCCCAGCTGATGGTACTATAGGTGAAGCTCATGACACATTTAGGAGGTGGAATCTTACTGGAGAAAGCACTTCACTGGGGCTGAGCCTTTAGCTTGTATATCCCAGCTCCACTACCTGCACTTTTTCTGCTTCTTGGCTGCCAATGCAATATGACCATACAAACTCATTCAGGTTCATGGTCCTGCTACCATGCCTTCTTTGTTATGATAGAATGCATCTCCTTGGAATTGAGTCAGAATAAACCCCCTTTCTCTTAAGTTGTTTTTGTTAGGGTATTTTTTTAATCACTGCAATGGGAAAAAGACACTAAGATAATGTGCTTGTTGATTTTTTGTCAACTTGACACTGTATGCTAAAAAGGGCCAGTGAAAGAACACCTTGCCCATAAAAAGTCAGGAACTGAAATCCAACTAATTCCTAAGCACAAAAATCAACCAATCCCAGAACATGACCCTGAGCACAAAATCCAATCAATCTCCGTGTTTGTCCCAAGCTCTGTAATTGAGATCCTACCAATCTCCATCCTGAAAATCTTAGCCATGGAAAACTCCACCCCTAAGAAACTGTTTAGTTCGGGGCTACCCTTTTTCCACCCTGGAAGAGGCAGTCATTATCCTGGATTCATCCCTCCCAATAAATCTCTTGAATGAAGTTATTGATAATGATTTTCTTTCCCTGGAACAGAGTAGAGCAAAGAAACATCTTCACCAGAGCAGAGCTCTAATATTTGTCACCTGGATGACACAGGAGTGGAGCAGGAGCAGAGCATAACTGTCACACTTTGGCTGGGGAAACTTTTCCTTCCTGGAACAGAATTCTTGCACTCTGGGGAAGCTGAACAGAGCTGTATCATTTCTCCAGAGTAAAGC